CGGTCAGATTCTGAATTTCATCGAACAAAACTTGGAAATGATTGATGGAGAAATCGAGACTGAGGTCAACTCAGAAGATGAGAAGTACTTAGAAGATACAGCTGCGTCATAAGAAAATATTTTTTTTTTTAACTCCTCTCTTACATGAACTATTTTATATATACAATTTTATATAGTTTCGTGATGTTACGAACATTTTTATTTATCAAAACCTGTATTATTTTACCTTGAATTTTAGTATGTAAAACGGGTAAAAGGACAATAATCATATAATCGGACTTCACAGACTGTCTTTATCACTCATAACTCCATTCATTCATATACTCTCTTTAAAACTTTTACTAATGTCTCTCTCTTGTATATCTTTATCCTACTATTATTTTCTTATACATGGACATAATCTTACAGGACATAATCATGTCAACGCCCAATAGGATGAACGCTTTAACGAAAGGGGTCACAGTAGCACCCTACCATCAAGAAGAAAATACCTTGGTGGTTACTTTCCCTTGGACTACCGCGGAATCTGATGTAGTCCAAAACCTCGTAACTTATGGACCTATCGAACAACTGCATCAATTAGAGTCTCGACTGGATGGACACAAGTCCCTCCGTATACGCTACTGCGCCCACGTGGACTATCATTCGGCCTTAAACAACTACCTGAATGATAGTATCCAGTCCTTAAATCCCGACTCTCCCAGAGTTGTGATCAGAGAACACGAATTTGGACATCGGGTATTCCTCCGAATCCCGATGTACTGTTCGCGGGAACAAGTATTTAAGGACTTGGCAACCTGTGGGACTCTGGACTATATGTATTTTACGCCTATCACGACATATGGTTCGCAATTCCATTTGACCTGCAGTGTGCGATTTGTGTCCAAGGGTTCTGCTGCTGAGGCTGTCCGACTATACCATAGGGTATATGGAGCCAAATTGAACGAACTAGAAAGGGTTGTCCCCCTGTCCCTGCACAACAAGAATCAGTACATTTTTCATGCACAATGCAAAAGCATTGTCATGAAGAGGGATTTCGAAACCCATAAAAACCTATGTAACAAGCAAATAGGTAAGGATTGGAAGAAACATTGGCCATGTGACAAATCCTTCGAAAAACGAAGCTTCTACCTCCACCTACGTCAATGTCAATATGAGGACTGGGTGGAACCAGAGCAGTCCGAAGAATCTGTGGGACAAAACCTGGTATTCACCACCATCCTGGAAAACATTATGGACAAGTTGGCAGCAATGCCCATAAACGCTACCAACCTTTAACTTTATCAATCCTTAGAAACCTTTTTTTTTCCTCTTCTTTTCTCTTATCTTTATAAAAAAAAAAAATAAACATAAAAAAAAAAAAAAAATAATAATATAACACGTATAGTAACCATTTTAATAGTAAATATATTACCCGTTTTCGTCATCCTTAATCATTCATGTTTATTCATTCTCATTGGACATATAATTCCCGAGGACGGTAATCATTCTAAGGGGGGGGAGGATGTTAAGTGACAACTTTTAAAATTCACTTAATCCTGATATATGTATTAATGTAATGTAAAACTTATATGTATTAGTATTATGTATAATTGCGCCGCGCGTATTAATTGTACACGTTAAGCACGCGTGGGCGGTCCGGCGGCCGCGTAGTAATGCAGTGACGGCGTAGTAACACTCTCGCGCGGCATGACTGTATCGCCCACGCCTAACAAAGCAGTCTCGTGCCAGTGCTAATCACGACCAGTCATACACACCATAATTCTCTTCAGATTTACGTACAGTTTTATTCAGTTCTTTTCATACAGTTTTGATCTCAGTTTTTTTTGTCAATCAGTTTTTATTTATCGTCAAATTCCTAAAATCAGTATATTTATATCCTTCCTATCAGCGATTAACGTATACGCGCGACGAAAGTTACGGCGTATATATATATATATATATATACGTATACAGCGTACGTTCAGACCAATTCCAGCACAATTACTTATTACAAGGATAACAGTTATTATAAGGACCAGCAAAAATAAAAGGTTTATATTTCTTGGACGAATATTTTAACAATATACACATTTATATAACTATATAATTTCAAGGACAAGTCTACTAATAATAATAATAAATAAACTTTTAACAAGTAAGTAACTCAAGGTTCATTAGTGTAAACTTGTTTTCTTCTTACCTATTTTTCTATAATAATAATAATACTTGGAATAATTACAATTTGGCAAATTTCATTTTGTGTATAACTACATATATATATATATATATATATATATATATATATATATATATATATATATATATATATATATGTAGACGTGTATGCGTTCGTTAAATTCTTAATTATTTTGGCTTTGGTATTTTGCTCTCGCGACTCTTTCCATTTATTATCATAAATACCGGTCATACCAGCGTAATGTGATCTTCTCGATTACATAGCATTATAGCCTACGCTGACGAAGTATTTAAAAATTAAGCACGTCCCCAGATAACATGATATGCATGTGTACGGGATAAATAGTACGTCTACAATATTTTGACGAGCTCGATTCCAAGTTGCTGAAACTCTTGAGTAAGCTTTAATTCGAACTTTATAGAGAACCTCTATATAAATATATTCCAGTTATTTGATTTTTTTTTATAAATATACTTATACGTAAAATATATTTAATAATTAACTAGCGAGCGTTAAGTGAGCGGGGCCTCATATATGCAGCAATACACCACATCGAGTTATAGTGTCGCTCGTTTGCTAAAAAGACACTAACGACGTGTGTGTCTATTAGAAAACACGTAACAATTCAACTGCTAGTAAAAAAGATATTACGCGAAAACATGAAAATAGATCAAATTTTTTTTTCAAACGGTTGGTTAATAATGTTCTGCCCCAATTTTAGACTTTAGATGAAGATATATTGTCAGCTATCCATAGGAAAAATTTCGTGCTTTTCGGAAAAAAGTACGCGAAAAATGCTCTATTGCCTGGACTACTATGTGAGAGAGTAGAGCCGACAGCAATAGGCAAACTACTCTGTGTGACTTAACTTCGATAATCTCCAGGACAACGTGTAAGCTAACAAGCATCACAATCAATAGCAAGCCGACCTTCATCACGGTTTACGTGGAATCATTTTTATTTGCATACCGGTCAATCAGTTCTCACTTCAGTTCACAGTGACATACAAATACTTGCTTCGGACTTCGGCGCGAATACCTCGGTTGTCTTTAGTGTATTCTTGGCCTTACGATCAAATGCAGCAGGAAAATGGATGCCGGTTTTTCCTCTCTTTGATATGATATTCTTAATTTAATTAAAAATAATACTCATATATCGTGTAATTAGGTATCAATAACAGGATGCAGGTTAACCGTGTAATCCTCCATCTAACCTGCAATATTCTCCATAGACATACCTTGACCATTTCTATATCGAGAGATGCACGTCATCGCATCGATATACGTCATTAATTATTATTTGCCATGTTGTGTGCGATTGCGGGTCACACATAATTAAAAATAAATTGAATTATTGATTTAGCGCTCTTTTTATATCTCATAAATAAATATTTACATGATCATATAGCCTAACAAAATCTATATGATTAGAATGTATTTGGTCACCCTAATACAATCTTTAAATAATGAGTTCACATGGAGCATGAAGAAATTTGGGCTCGCAATTATTTTAAGTTATTCTGGAATACATGAACACATTAAAAGGTCGATATTTCTTAGTTAGCTCACATATCGTTTTATATTACATAATTTATGTACATCTTCAGTTGTTCTTTAAATTCAGAATCGAAATTTAATGAACATGGATATATACAGGGTGGCCCATTTTAAGTGATCCACTCAGATATCTAGATTGGAGTGAGTTTTATCAAAAAAAGTTTCAGACAAAAGTTACTCAACTTTGAGGGGGCCATGTTTCTATGACCTTGGATTTGACCTTGGAGGTCATGTTCAAGGTCATTTCAAGGTCAACTTTGTTTTTTTAAATAGGAACCCGCATTTTTGACCCCGGATTCGGAAAGAGCGGGAAATTTTACGTCCAAAACGGTATTTTTAAATTTTTTTTCATGGCCTTGAGAAGGTCGATTTAAGGTCAAATGCTTGAAAAACTGCATAAAAGCGTTTTTTTAATTTTTAAGATATCGAAAAATGACCTCTACAAAATTTGTTCAGAACAGAGTGGGCCACCCAATGCACCAAAAACCTTTGACCTTTAACCTCATTTTGAAGGTCATTTCAAGGTCGAAGTGTTTTTTGTAATGGAAACCCCTCTTTTTGACCCCGGATTCGCACATAGCGCGAAACTCAACACAATACCTTATCCAAACGTCGGATTTCGCGCTATGTGCGTATCCGGGGTTAAAAAGAGGGATTTCCATTACAAAAAACACTTCGACCTTGAAATGACCTTCAAAATGAGGTTAAAGGTCAAAGGTTTTTGGTGCATTGGGTGGCCCACTCTGTTCTGAACAAATTTTGTAGAGGTCATTTTTCGATATCTTAAAAATTAAAAAAACGCTTTTATGCAGTTTTTCAAGCATTTGACCTTAAATCGACCTTCTCAAGGCCATGAAAAAAAATTTAAAAATACCGTTTTGGACGTAAAATTTCCCGCTCTTTCCGAATCCGGGGTCAAAAATGCGGGTTCCTATTTAAAAAAACAAAGTTGACCTTGAAATGACCTTGAACATGACCTCCAAGGTCAAATCCAAGGTCATAGAAACATGGCCCCCTCAAAGTTGAGTAACTTTTGTCTGAAACTTTTTTTGATAAAACTCACTCCAATCTAGATATCTGAGTGGATCACTTAAAATGGGCCACCCTGTATATATATATATCTATATTTATATAACAGAAAAAATATACATAAAATCACTCTGAGAATGTAATGTAATTAATGAGTACGATAGTAATAAATAGGTCCAACGGCTGAACTTAAAAAAGCAAACTACTAATAATTTACTAATAGAAATAAATCATACCTTTACATAATATATTGCTTTGAGATGCCGAATTTCCATTAATAATACAGCAATATAATGAATGGCTAATAAAGTATCAATGAACATTACAGCGTAATTAACCAAACTTTTGTAATCAGTCAAATTGCCTAGAGTGACAGTCTTTGAAAGTTCTGTAATCTGTAAATGTAGTTATGTTATGAATATTCATATATAATTGTGCGTTTTCACGTATATATATTTAATATGTAATAAAGTATTTCTAAATCTCTAACTTTATGGTGACTGAAAAAATGTTTGTGTAGAAAGCAAATATTTTAATAACAAGAAGTAAAACATTTGTCGTGAAAGCAGACAATTTGATGTATTCATTATTTCTGCATTTTTTTCAAGAAATGCAAGTAATTGTTAGAAGTATGATTATACGCTTACATTAGAATTTAATGTATAAATTTGACAAAAGTGTTCTACTGTTTAACCTGCAATTTATTTACTATAAAATAGTGTGAAATAAGTCCAGGATAGTCAAATAAATCAATTTTAATATTATATTAAAATATAAATGTCATTAAGTATTTTATCATTTAATGTAAAATTAAATTATTCGATAGAAAGCTCCAAAGCATAACATTTAAAGGCCCTAGGCGATTTTCTATAGTGATTTGAGCCCCTTATTATTTTCAAAAAGCATAAAAGCGTACAATAAGACTACGCCTAACTATTGGCGTCTCGATGGTCGAGAAGCGTCCGAAGAGGCCAAAAGGCTCCAGTAGTAGGAGCAAGAGAGTAAGACAGAGAGTAGGGTATAGGTGGGTGAGGGTAGACGTGCAACATTTTGACTGATATGAGCCATATCACACGCCACCTACAAGTTACAATAAGTAGAGAAGCTAGGAAAGTCAGTTTGGGATCGTGAGCTGGTCATTATTAGACATTGAGTTCATGCTAATAGAGGTGTACGGATTGCCACGGATAGTGCACCCCTACAGAGAGAAGCCAACAAAGAAGGATAGATACCATATGCAGTTTGAGTCTTCGTCCAGCTGCCCGCAAAAGAAAAAATGAGGCTGTCCTTTGCTGCGAGGACCTGTTTATATACTTGTCGGTTTCTTGATCTACCTGAATTAAGGAAGGAAAGGAACCTCCAGTGAAATTTTCGCCCGGCCGACAGCTAAACGGATAAACCCGTTCACAATGGTCAGGTTCTCGTTTTCTCTCTCTTATTAACTTTTTCCCGATATCGTATAAGTTTGGTAACGCTCGATAGCCAATCGTTCACTCATCAGCAATGTAAGTTTTCTTTTGTATTCTGAGTAGCGACTCGATAAATTAAGTGTGGGTGATAGGACATGGACAAATATGAAAAATATATTTCACCATCAATTAAATTTGATTATGACTTACAATCGATTTAAAGAACTATGTACATAAAGTTGGTTGGATGATAAATATCAATTTTTAGTAATTAACAAGGATAGAGCTATAAATAATGGAAAATATTGGAAAGGTTTTGATTTATTTGCTATACGAGTAAATATATCCTAGTAATAATATAATGTGTAGTCTAATATTAATCGTTAAAGCATCAACATAGATTATCATCAACAAGAAAAATATATGCTTTCTCAACTTTTTTAAGCGCAAGATACAATCAGACAGAAGTATAATCTATTGAAGTATGCTCGAGATTACATTGACAATATCTTGTACATTTAAGCCAATAGTCGATCCGCAAAATACTATAGTGAGTGCAGTGAATCCGTTCAAAGAAAGAAGATTAATCCTAAATTATTTTAAGTTAAAAAGCCAACGTTTCTCAAGAAAATACCACAACATAAATATAAGTATTTTACTGCTGCTACTGCTAGTGATAAAGATGAAAACCTACAGTCTAGCAGATAAGATACTGATATTACTATTAAACACAACAATACACACATTTATCATAGGTTATCCGAACTGAGGGAGAATAACAACCTAGTTGTCGATAAGTACATGAATGCATTGGATAAAAATGATTCTATTATAATTAATTTATTTATTTAATATCGCATCGACGACAAGGCCATTAGTGACTCTAGTTTTTTGGATATGATTTAAGGTATGCGTAAAGGAAAAATTGGAGCTTACACACTTCATAACTCTATAGTAACTTTTAATAAGAATAGTGTGAGCGTTGATAATTTCAAATATCCAAAAATAAGTGGTTTCAAGTAGCCTAATAGAATTCTAATAACTCAAGATGATTTAAAAATATATCTAGGAAATTTTAGAAATGTTTAACGGACATAGAAAATGCATAAATCCAAATGAGAGCTCATATTAGCCATAAATTTAATATTGTTGGTCGATTATTTAATATGATTAAAAAACCTTACGTAGAAGAGAAGGAGTTGAAAAGTGGTACATTTTAAGTAGTTACAAAGTTACACGAAACAATATTAATATGGATTATGTGTTTCGGAATGATCTAAACAAAATCCATCCATCCAACATGTACAAAGTTTATGTCAATTTCAAAAATAGCGTTGTAGGGACTACCAAGCGTAGAAAGGAGCCAATTTTGCAAGTATGAATTCGCTCGTCGCTGCGGCAAGAGGATTCACTATCCTACCTTGCTTAGCAGCTCGATCATTGAATCGAAATAAAGACTCAGCAATTTCCTGAGACTAATTTCATTATTCAGTGGTTAGTCTGCTAATTCCTTTCCTTACGAAACCTAAGCGCTCAACTTATAAGACTATCTCTCTTATGATAAAAATTAGCCTTAGATATCTCCTCTCTATAAAATCATTAATTCCTAAGAAATAAAATTGAGTGTTTGTTGCGGCGCTGTCGGGCTTCTCTCCGATAGATGCAACTATACTCAGTTATATTTCAAAACAATTCATCGAAACAGCGAATATTGTGTTTGATATTCGGTGAATTTTGGAATTTCAGTTCTTATAGAATATATGCGTATCAACTTCTTGCTAGTCTCGGAAACGCAATAACAGCTATAATAGAAAGAGTCTGAACTATTTATTTGACTAACGCGAAATAGAATCAAACGTTACGATACTCTGGATACAAATAAATTCGTGCACCAACTCAAACTCTTCGTATAATAATCAAGTAACTTATAAGATAACCCGTTGATCGTTTTAACATATAGATTAATGATTAAGGCGCAGGAGGGGGGGAGGAGTCAAAGGTTAATTCATAACTTGTTGTTGCACTATAAGTCATATGGTTCATATAATAGCTTGTATAGCGAGAGGATGACGTAGTTCATTCATGAACTTGGAACATTTTCGTACATTTAGATACTTTACTATGACTAAGTCTTTATATGCTAATTGTAAGTTCTTTATGCACACACGTTCACGCTGCTAACTATGTGATATACGTTCTTTAAATTATAAATTCTCTCTTGCTCATGAACTTTAAATATTTTGAAGGGTAATGAGTGCATTGATACTTATAATTATCATGAAGGTGTAATCCTATTGCAATTTTATAAGTTGGAATTATAATTATTTTAATTTATAAGATATAAACATGACGCTAATGAATAATCAATTTATGTGTGCATAATGATTGGTGTACTATGAAGATTTATGAATAGATGTGTATGAAGTAGGGCAAGCATCTGAGAAAGCATGTGACTCGTATATAATGAAGGAGAGTAGTTCAACGCATCACCTATACATATTATTTTGCAACTAACAAGGTAAGGTACTCAACCCGAACTCACCGATTTTGATAATTTTGATACATATTGTAAAACATAAAAAAATAAGAGACACGTAATTTTATTTATCGGCTAATTTTCACTTTTAAGGGGTAACAACCTTCCCTAAAGTTAACCCCCAAAAAGCGTTTTTTTTAATATCTCGGCTTAAAATTAATATTTTTCAGTGAGACAAATTGGAGGTTATTTCTTACAAAAGGAGCAAGTATTTCATGGTGAATTGAAGAGTACGGGTAGCATCCCCTATTTTTAGGGGTTGAAAACATATTATAATATTAGAGTATAATAATAATAATCTACAATCTTTTATCTTTTGCCAAGTGCGTTTTTTGTATTGAACATAGAATATATTATTTTACGAAGTTTTTACAATAATGGTAGTCCTCATAAAAGTGTTTAAAGCACAATGCTTTTTTGCACCAACCACATCGTACAATTGCAACGTTTATGCATCCTTCTATTTCACAATGTGTTGCACAAGACTTTCCAAAACTGAAATCTATAGGATTATCAAATTTATCTGGTTTTTCATTGACGTAACCGCTTTTATACCAGGAATATTTAAACAAATCTATATTTCTCGGTGAAGATAGTTTGTTGTGAACCAATGATTGAAGTCTAATTATATTATTTCTCAGTAGTAAATTCACATCATGATCCATTAACATTACATTATCAGAAAATGTTCGGACAAAGTTTTTCCAAATACAGAATCCATAGATATTAAGTGGTTGTATTTTTCCTGTGGTCCCAATTGGAATTTTTTCTATGTTAATAATTTTATTTTGTGGCATCGTTTCTTCTATAACTTTGTCACAATGACCACTCCAAGAATCAAGTAATAATATTAAGTGATGGCCTACATGGGGATAAAATATTTTTTCTAACCAGATTTTGAAGTGATCTGCAATTAAACGACTTACTAATTAACTGATCAACGATATTACAATGTAAAAATTGTTATTAGTTCCCTTACTTGTTAATTTTCCAGATTTTGATGCTTCCACGTACACGTTTTCTGGTCTAAATATGTTTTGTTCTACAATAGGGCCAAACTTGCCACTTGGTTCCTTTAAAACTAGAAATAGCGGTGACAACGGTTGTCCAGTAGGTGATATTAGTGGCTGTATAGTATAACTATGCATCGTTGCTACAATTAACTGTACCAGACATTCCACTTGCTTTTCTCCTTCTACTGCTAATGTTCTTTCAGAATTCATTTCTAGCTGAAATCCGCTCTGATCTAAAATATACAAATTTTCGAGTCCGATCCTTGGTATACACGATTTAACGTCATCGATAAATGCTTCAGCTTTAGCCGTAAGTTCTGCACCACATTCTAGCGTTTTTCTTGTTATGAACTTATTTATTTTCCTAGAAACTATTCTGTGTGCTTGCTTAAATTTGAGTAACCAATGTTTAGAAGCTTTGAATCTAATATTATCAA